ATGGCCATGCAGTTATAATTAATATAAGCCTCTGTGTGTTTACTTGGGGGATGCGAGTGGGAGAGATTTGTCCCAACTGCTGGCAGGCCGGGACACAGAAAAGCTCTGACTACATACCCCAAAGTAATTGCGCCTCATGGAAGATAGGTTGAAATACTAACTCCCCATCAGAGTACATGTGACTTGATTTGGGTATCAAGTCTCTGGTGATAGAATCAAGTTAAGACAGGATCACTAGAGTGGGCCCTGTTCCAGTTAGACTGGTATTTTTAAGGGAGGAGGGAGGTTTGGACACAACCATGTGAAGACTGACCTAGAAGGAGGAAGGCTGTGTGAAGATGCCAGAAGCCACAGAAACACAAGAAAAGAGCGTTCTCTGAAGCCATGAGAAACTGCATTGGCTTTGACAACATTTTGAGTTGTGACTTTCACCTTTTAAAACTCTAAGAATATATTTTTGTTGTTGTTAAGCTTTTTGGGCTGGAGTGCTTTGGTATGTCACCCCCGGGAAACTGATAAAGAGATGATGTACACAGTACCCTATAGCAGTGTGTTAGTTACTGCAGCCATTTCAAAGGCCTCCATCTTGCTGTGAGATGTCTTTCTGTATGCTGTGAATATGTGTTGCTCTCATTGGTTAATAAATAAAGCTGGCCGGGTGGTGGTGGCGCACGCCTTTAATCCCAGCACTCGGGAGGCAGAGCCAGGCGGATCTCTGTGAGTTCGAGGCCAGCCTGGGCTACCAAGTGAGTTCCAGGAAAAGGCGCAAAGCTACACAGAGAAACCCTGTCTCGAAAAAAAAAACAAAAACAAAACAAAACAAAAAAATAAAGCTGTTTGGCCAATGGTGAAACAGAATTAGGTTAGGCGGTACATTCAAACTGAAGATGGAGATGAGAAAGGGCAGAGTCAGAGCAGACACCATTTAGCTGCCCAAGAAGCAAACTGGTAATGCCATGGCCATGTGGAAAAATATAGAATAGAAATGGGTTAATTTAAGTTGTAAAGAGCTAGTTAGTAATAAGCCTGAACAATAGGCTAAGCATTTATAAAAAATTATTAAGGCTCTGGATGATTACTTACAAGCAGCTGCAGGACAAGGTGGGACAGAGAAAAGGCTCCAGTTACACCATCTGTTGTGGAGGAGATGTCACTACAGCAAAGGAGATGGCTAAGTTCAGATGCAAGGTCTTTACAGGTTTTTCTCTCTTCTATGGCCTTCAACCACTAGGGGGCATTTGAAGGACATTAGATCAATAGGTGCTGACCTCTTGTGGTCAAGTATAGGCCACACATTCTGTATGCCCCACTGTGCCAAGATGGTGGGAAGTAGATGACGCCAGAGAATGAATTTACTCACTGGTTTTCTTTTATCTAGCGGCAACTCAGGTTGGTGGAGCCAGGGTGATGAATGTGTAGAGTGTAGACATCTCAGCATGGATCCTGCTTTACCTGGAGGTAGTTAGTTACTGTTTCTCCACAGTGTTGGAACAGGCAAGATAGAGATCTCAAGAAGTACAAGACTAGTTTTAAAGAGGCTAAAGAGAGCAATGCATGACAGATTTAAGTGTGGTTCTATGCCTGATTAATGTGACCAAACAAGGCCCTGAAAATGGGAAAGCTGGACAGCAATCATTTGCTCTTTGGAAAGGTACAAAGTTGAACTCTTAGACAAAGTCTCATTGAACAGGGGTCCCCATGATTCCCAATCTGGGAAGGGATTGGAGCTTGAACAGGAAGAAGTGAAACCCACAGAGACGAGGCTAGGATTAGACATTTAATTCTGTCTCTTTCAGTGATTGACATTCTAGCCGACCCTAGCTGATTCACTTAACCTGTCTGGGTGATTGCTTCCCAGTGTATGAAATAAGGACAATACCAGTCATCAGATCAATTTTCTAGAGTTCATTCCAGGCCCCTAATGAAAGGCACATTATAAACACAAATTGTAATTATACCTGAGTATGCTTTTTACTCAGAGGGAGCCAGAGGCCTTTTCTGTCTTTGAAACTTCAATTATAAAAGTTAGAATCTTCTGCATTTGTCAGAGGTAGATAAAAATTTATTCGTAATATGAATCATATAAGAGCAGGTTAATGATGCTTGGAATCCAAAAGTGGGGCATTACTGATGTGAGCAAATTGCCTGGAACCTGGAGACTGAGAGTCTGGTCCTCATTTTTTCACTAATTAACCCTGAGGCCCTGGGCAAGTCATTTCACCTCCCTGTGCCTTAGCCCAAAATGATGCAGTTGGGTGAGAAATGTGTTTTCCAAACTTCAGTCATCCCTTTCATGATTTTTGCTATATCTAAGAATCATCTATTCTAACATTATTCACAATATTTTAAAATTCATTTATGTTAGCAAGGCTTTTACATGTAAATGAGTACCGCATCTTGATTTACACAATAATATCCATAACATTACAGTTTCATACACACACACACACACACACACACACACACACACACACACGTGAGCGTACGCATGCGTACACACATGTAGCTCACTAAAGGACAAATATGCTTTGTTTGTATGTCGCCTAAAGGTAGACTCGATTTTCTTGATTGATAATTCTTTTTTGAGATAGGCTTTCTCTGTGTAGTCTTGGCTGTCCTGGAACTCACTCTGTACTCCAGGCTGGCCTCGACCTCATAGAGATCTGCCTGCCTCTGCCTCTGGAGTGCTGGGATTAAAGGCATGTGCCACCATCACCAAGCTGGTTGATTCTTAAATAGTTATGAGACCATGAAGAGAATTTAAAAGAAGTGATAAAGGAAACAGAAGATAAGCTGATGGTTTTGATGAATTCTGGGTTTGCACTCCAGCAGAAAAAAAAGATTAGTAGTACTTTCCCTACCAGCTAGGTAGCTGCATTAGTGCTGGCTTCTGCTAACTCAGAAAAGACCATCAAAAGCATCACCAAAGCCAGGTGAGGAGGTGTACACCTAGGGCCCCAGAACTTCTGAATGGAGGCAGAAGGATGATAATGATCAAGACTTCAGTGTCATTCTTGGCTATATAGAAAGTTCAAGGTCATCCTGGGCTACATGAGACTTTCACACAAAAAGAAAGAAAAAGACTATCAAATATTGCTAGAGAAACATTAGAAGAGAAAAACAATTTAAAAATACTAACTTAAAGGGGAAAAAGTTCTACAGTTAGACAGAGGAGATGGAAAGAAATGTATATGCTCACCCCTTTCTTTATGTATGAATGCACATTTCCAAATTAACTTATGAATTTAATGCAATCCAATGAAAACCTCAATAATACTTCATTAACAAAATATTAGCTTAAAATTCAGATCCATTGTAAAAGCCAGCAGATCAGGGAGTTTGCTATGAGATTTTATCTCCTAGGAATGTCAGAAGCTACACCCATGAAGTCTCAGCAACATGGTTGCCTAAACATGAGCTGAACAAGGACAAGAGTAGACATGCCAAAGTGGGTGGGGAAAAGTCCACAGAGAGAACTACAGGCCACTGAGGAAAGCCAGGAGTTGGAGAAACAGGCTTCTCCAGGAAAGAGCACATCAAATGTTTTCCAATACCAAATGATCATCCCTGAAAACATATATACAAGTAACATTATACAGACTGAGCAGGTTATATTAGGGAATATATATGTACATACTAACATATATGCATGTAATAGCAATTAATGAAAATAGAGGCCATTAATTTGAAAGAGAGCAAGGAGGGGTATATGGGAGAGTTTGGAGGGAAGAAATGTGGAAATAATGTAATTATATTATAATATCACAAATAAAAATAAAAAACGTTGATGGAAAAGTCCTCAGATCCTTAAAGCAGAACTTATTCTACAAACTAGCATTCATATTTATTGTTTCCTAGAATAGACATTCATCACATAAGTAGTGTTTTAGTCACTGTTCTATTGCTATGAAGAGACACCATGAGCAAGGCAACTTTTATAAAAGAAAGCATTTAACTGGGAGCTTGCCTACAGTTTCAGAGGGTTAGTCTGTTGTCATCATGGTGGGAAGCATGAGAGCAGGCAGGGAGGCAGGCATGGTGCTGGAGAAGTAGCTGACAGCTACCTCCTGATCCACAGGCAGAAAGTGACACTGGGCCTGGTGTGGGCTTTAGAAGCCTCAAATCCCACCCCAGGCCACACACATACCTACTCCAACAAGGTCACACCTCCTAATCCTTCCCAACTGTCCACGAAACTGGGAACCAAGCATTTAAATATATGAGCCTATGCGGGGGGCAGTCTCATTCAAACCACTACAAGCAGGGGTGGCTCGGGGCATCAATAGTATGCAGGCCCTGTTGCTCTTGTCCTGTTCTCAAGGGTGACCTCTGAGACTGCTTTCCAGAGGTGGGAGGACTCTGACCTGGAGACTGAGGTCTGTGACCAAGAAGCTCATCTGATCACTGCTATGGAATTGTCAGAGTCTGCTCATAAACCCAAGTCTTGGTTTCCTCAGGGTTCAGTGGGACTAACAATATGTCACAGGTATGGTAGAACTGACAGGGTGTGTATTAAATGGCATGCATGAATAGCCAGCGATGCACCTAACAAATCGTGCTTGAATGGTATTTGGATTTGACTCTGAGGACCATGGCATTAGGAAGGAATTATGAGAGATTTTGGTCTGTTATTTCTCAGAAATAGAGTTGAAAGTCATAAGAAATTCCAGCTGAGGAACATACAGTGGCAGATTGTGATGCCACCATGTTCCTCCAAAGTGGTATTTGATTCTTTGACTGTATGACACAATGTCAAGGAAGGTGGTGGCATGTTTGGACATAACAATCAAATATAACTACATAGAGACACCTAAAGATATATGGAAGCCCATGTATAAAGGTTACAGTTGTTCCCATTGGCTTTGTGAAAAAAAACAATTCCATATATCCACCATTAGGACCTTTCATATTTTTATATGTTTGTTACCCTTGTTATGTTTCTTTATGTACAATGTGACCAGGTTAATGTCTGGATAATCATATTTCTATTTTTCTATTAGGGAAAGAATATAGCCAACTCACCCTAAGCCCTGCGCAAGAAGGTACCCTGTCCCCACCTCTGTATATTGGAGAGTCTTCTTCAGCCTTCCTGGAGCTGAACTTTTCACCCTGGGCTAAGAGTGTGAGGGTTAAGAAGAAAAGCCTCCTGGGACAGCAAGATGGCTCAGTAGGTAAAAACTCTTGCTGTGTAAGTAAGCCTGAAGACCTGTGTTCACTCCCTGGCACTCACTAAAAGGTAGAAAGAGAGAACTAACTCCACAGAATTGTTCTCTGACCTCTACACATGCACTGGGGCCTGGGGCCCCACATACATACATTGCCCACCCCCACACCATCCACAGGGGGGAAAAAGAAATAAATGATGTCTCTTGGGTTTTAGACCATAACCCCCCATAGATTCTAGACCTTGGACTCCCATGCCAAGGTGGGTCTAGAATTTGAACGAAGGCCTCTTCGTAAGAATTTTCTTCCAGGTTCTCCTCCTTAGGGTGGGCAAAGCTGCAGGCAAGTGCAAGCCGAGGTATGAGAAGTGACACGTGGGTGGAGGGGGTGAAGGCAGACAGACCTCGGCAGGGCAGGCTGTCAACACACACATAGGCCGGGCAGACGGTGGAAGGGAGGGTGTGCAGTTCCAGACACACCACAGTGAAGCCGGCAGGAAGAAAAGTGGGGTTGAGCTATGCAGTTTTATTTCCGTTCCAGCCTCTCCTAGGTCCTGCAATGTTACAGGTAAACACAATCCCACTGTTGATAAATGTCTGCTTTATGTCTTCTCTTCCCAGGGACTTCCTTTTGGTCATTCATTATCCCTCAACACTTTTATGGACAGCTGATCAGGGACCAAGAGGAAAGGTTAAACTCCAAGATGTTGACTCTTGTATTAGTGAACAACTAATGATCCTTTTTGCTTTCAAGCATCCCTAATAAAATGTCTCCTAGGATCACCACCTCTTAAAATATGAAGGGAGTTCAGAGGTCATTTCTGAAGTGCATGAAAAAGGAAACCTGGGAGATACAGAGATAGATGGAAAAACAGACATACAGCTTACCTGGAATTTGATCTTAGCCTGCCTGCTGTATGATCTGGTCAGCCTTCGAGGCATGCCATTACTAGACAATGTGATCTATTATTCAAAATGTGGTTTGTTCTATGTCCAGGGGACTTCAGTTATGGCTCTTTGGAGTTGTGTTTGTAGTCTCTGCACAGAGGGACCTGGGGCCAATTAGTACTTTGCAAACTAGATGGTCATTATAATTCTTAGTCAATTTCATATGACTCTGAAGAACTTCCCAAACTTGATTTCAGTAGTATATTTTTGAGCACTGATGGCTGCCTTTTGCTGTGGGATGGTCTGCATGTCAAGTGTGTTGCTGATTAGTCAATAAATAAAACACTGATTGGCCATTGGCTAGGCAGGAAGTGTAGGCGGGACAAGGAGGAGAATAAAGCTGGGAAGTGGAAGGCTGAGTCAGAGAGACACTTCCAACCACCACAATGACAAACAGCATGTGAAGATGCCGGTAAGCCACGAGCCACGTGGCAAGGTATAGATTAATGGAGATGGATTAATTTAAGCTGTAAGAACAGTTAGCAAGAAGCCTGCCACGGCCATACAGTTTGTAACCAATATAAGTCTCTGTGTTTACTTGGTCGGGTCTGAGCGGCTGTGGGACTAGCAGGTGAGAGAGATTTGTCCTGACTGTGGGCCAGGCAGGAAAACTCTAGCTACAAATGGCGTCCAACGTGGTGGCAAGAGTTTCCACCTAAAAACCTGAGAAAAAAATTCTAAAACGGAGCTAAAAACAGCTTCCTAATTGTCTCTCTCAAATGAGCGGCAGCTGCCGGTTTGAGCTAGGTGGGTTCCTAGCGTGCGAGCTCGACCTGCAGTATGGCAGGAATGAGACCTCTGCAAGTGGCACAATAAGCTGCGTAGTGGATTTAGCCTTTGCTAGTACAAAACAAAAAAAAAAGAGGTTTCTGGACTACACACTGCTTGGCTAAAAGCATAGACCCATGATAGCTCCCAGAGCTGGTGGAAAAGGTAACACCACCATGTTGGGAAGCTGAGGTGGGTGGAGCCAGCAGCCACAGCTGCTGCAGTTTAAGGCAATAGATTCACAATAAGACAGATTCAGATGTAACAGTTTACAATGTGTGTAAAAGATATGTAGGCTTGAAAGAGACAAAAAAGGTGATATATAGAGTTATAGAAACAAATACATAGTTTTAAAAAATAAAGTCTTTAAAGAGACAGTAAAGGTAGTATAAAAAATAAGCCACGTAAAAATGGATATTACACAGAGAATCTGCATTGTGTTGTCTTTGGGACTTTTAACTGCAGAAAAACATTTGATTGTAAAAGCTGTTGAGTTATGCCAAAATGTGTATTTTAAAGGTACCTTGACTTCAAAATTTGAATATAAGGATATGTTGCTTTGGAAAGGAGACTCTGCTTTTGTTTCCACAGAAAGCCAGAGGCTATGGATTTGTTCCAGATTAAGATACATCAGGTTTGACCAGCCAAGACCCCCTGAAAGGTCTCCGATGACACCATGGCCCAGATGATCCAACATCCAGAACGATTTGAAGGCAACTGGCTCAGACGATACACCCTCATGGACTATTCCATAATTCTAAAATTTTCTTTGTGTCCCCATAAGATACAGCGCCCCCCTCCAGCAAGAAGTAGTAAGAGAAGCTACGCCCAAATTCCCAAATTGTGTGTAATTTTACTTTGTTAAGGTTAAAACCTTCCTTTCTGAAAAAAAAAAAAGGGGGGGAAGTGCTGTGGGATGTTCTGTATGGCAAATGTGTTGCTGATTAGTCAATAAATAAAACACTGATTGGCCATTGGCTAGGCAGGAAGTGTAGGCGGGACAAGGAGGAGAATAAAGCTGGGAAGTGGAAGGCTGAGTCAGAGAGACACTTCCAACCGCCAAAATGACAAACAGCATGTGAAGATGCCGGTAAGCCACGAGCCACGTGGCAAGGTATAGATTTATAGAAATGGATTAATTTAAGCTGTAAGAACAGTTAGCAAGAAGTCTGTCATGGCCATACAGTTTGTAACCAATATAAGTCTCTGTGTTTACTTGGTTGGGTCTGAGCGGCTGTGGGACTGGCGGGTGAGAGAGATTTGTCCTGACTGTGGGCCAGGCAGGAAAACTCTAGCTACAGCCTTTCTCCTTTCTGAAATCTTCCCTGACCTGCTCTTACTCCCTCTACTTTGCTCTTGCCTTAGGATGGAGCCTGCACTTCTCTAAGATATGACAGGGACTGATGAAGACTTCAGACTCTTGCCTCTGATATCAATATTATGCCTGTGTTCAGTGCTGAAATAATGTTTATAAATTTGAAAATTGGCAGATATGGGAAAAAAGAGAAGAATACAACCCTAAAACCTTGGAATTTCTCTAAACACAGAAGCATCTTAAAGGAAAATGTTTTGGGTGGCCAAAAACAATAATCAACCAATTTTTTTTTTCAGGAGAAAAATGAAAAATCCAGAAAAGACAAGAGATCTAAGAACACTACCAATGGTTCAAGTAACCATTCAGAATGGAGGAGTGTAGCTGAAAGTTTTCTCCCGTGTCCCACCTGGACTGTGGTCAGGACAAATCTCTCTCACCTACTGGTCCCACAGCCACTCAGACCCAAATAAACACACAGAGGCTTATATTATTTACAAACTGCATGACCATTAGCTCAAGCTTATTACTAGCTAGCTCTTAAACTTAAATTAACCCATAATTCTTATTTATGTTTAGCCACATGGCTTGGTACCTTTTCTTGGTTCTGCCTTCACATCTTGCTTCCTCTGTGTCTGGCTGGTGACTCCTGACTCAGCCTTCCTCTTCCTAGAATTCTCCTTGTCTGCTTATACCACCTATACTTCCTGCCTGGCTACTAGCCAATCAGCATTTTATTTATCAACCATTCAGAGCTACATATTCACAGCATACAGACCATCCCACAGCAGAGGAGTGCTCTGACTGTGTGGCATTGTAAAAATCATAGATGGGACAAAGGTGAAGCCAGAAAATGTCTGCAAAAGAAATCAGCAGCAACACTGATAGGGTCAGTGAGGGCCAAAGTTGCACTGAAGTCAGATGCAGACAAGAATAGTCTGAAGAAAGAGTGCTCTCTCTCCATATAGAAGCAAGAGCCAGTGATGAAGAAAAGATTAACAAGTTGTGTACAGAGAAAAGAGTGAAGCATCTCTAGGCTAATAGTGGAGCCCTTCAGATCACAGACCTGTTTCCCAGTGTGTGTAAAGAAGGCCCGTTTACATTGCACTATTGGGGACTCGAGCTGAGTTCTTCAGCTTTCTGTGAGACACATGACAGATGTTTTTCCCAGGCAACTGGACCCTGCCACTCCCCACCTCCTCAAAATGCCAAGAAATGCTAATGTCCAAGGTTCTTTTTTGGGGACAACACTTACCATGACCATGAGCAACAGAAAGCCAGCATGAAGTTCTACAGTGTTGAACACAGCATAGAGGAGGCTCATTGAGTATGCAGAAATTCTGCTGCATGTAATCATTTGGTCTACTATGCACCTGGCCTCCATCTCACACACTTTGAGTGAAGGTAGGCACAATGGAGTGTCTGATGATCCATTCTGGTTTAGGGGAGAGAGAAGAGAAACAATTTCCTGAGTGCTTTGGGGGCCATGGTTATCCCCATGAAATTTTGTTCTGTCATGACTACGGCAGCAGTGGCCTCATAGGGATGCTCACAAGATGCAACACAGCATCTTGTCCTATCAAGAAGGTGAGCAGGGACAAAGCCCTGTGAACTCCCCATGAAGTGGAGATATGATATAGAGTTGGAGACAGGGACTTTTATAAAGTGGTCAGGCTGTGCTTGTTTGCAAACAGGGGTTTGCTTGTAGACACACTCTACCATTGCACCTTCCAGTGAGATGGGCCCAAGCCTAGATTATACAGGCGTGATCTCAAATATACCCACTGACTTAAAAAATAAATGATATGTACAAGTGTTGTTTTGTTGATCCACTCCCTGTGATCCATTTTACAACTTGGTGCCTACCTTTTTCAGTGCATCACATTTCAGAGCTGGGTGGGTCAAGGTGGATGAATTTGCTTTGAATGCTGTTAGGGCTGAGGAAAGAGAATGATCAGATACTGAAATTGCTTTTTGTGGATTCTGTGCCATGGAAAATGGTAGAGTGACATGTCTTTGTGAACATACCCAAATTGGAGTGCTGACTCTGTAGTGTGTGGTCCTCAGAGGAGAAAGGAAAACACAATACAACACAGCATAACACAACACAACACAACTTATAGCTTTCTGGACCTTGCCCCACTCCCTTATTCTTGGCCCGGGGCTTTTGGAATGAACCACGCTTATTTAATTTTTGAAAAGTTGATCTTGGATCTCAGAGGGAGACCAGAGAGTTGGACGGAACTTAGAATTTTAGTAAATTCTAATTTTTACTTTATGCAATGCCTTTCTCAGCATTAATGAGCTGCTGACCAGTTAGTTGTCCGCTGATTGACTTGGCTCTGCCAGCTCCATGCTCTAGTTAGGTGCTAACAAGTACAGATGGTTTCTGACTTGTGATTTGACTTAAAAATTTTCAATTTCATGATTGTGTGAACAATGTAGCTTTATGGTCTGTATTCCATGGCAAGTGTACTTTCACTTTTGACTCTTTCTCTTCTCCTAGCATAGTGCTGTATAGTATGATACTGCCTTAGGATGTTGGGCAGTGGTAAACTGCAGTTATAGTCAGCCAAACCATTACAGGAGGAAGCAACAGATATCCTGCAACATGCTGGGGTACTAAGCTCTGAGGTTCAGTGGGTTAAGGGTATTAGATGCATTTTTGACTTAGGATATTTTCAACTTATGATGGGCTTATCAGGATAGACCTCATCATAGCTAAGGAGCTTGCCTAAAGCCACCTATAGTTTAATACATGTAATATTAAATAATATTAATTATTGAATAATAACACATTGACCCTTCTGACACCTACAAATGTTTGCAATTCATATAAATCAAAGTCATGGGAAATCAACGTTTTATCACTATAGGTAACACATAGATTTTAAGTTAAAATTTACTGGACTAACTGAAATAAACACTGGTTTTATCAACTGTTTACAACTTTGAGTCCCAGGCTGATGTACTGTTGGGGAGACTTTTCTCAATTTCTTCTTCAGAGAGCCCACTATCAGCAGGTAGAAATGCTGCTGAATTCCGAATGCTGCTGTATGTAAATGTAATATCTTGCAACTGTCCCGAATTTACTGACTAGCTCTAATCACGTTACTGTTTGACTTTTAATCTCTATACTCACCTG